CTAACCCAACCCCATATCCTATTATATAATATATATTAATATAATATATATATAAACTGTTTTTTAATCTTATTTGGTATTTTAACATTTATTATTTTATTTTTACTTTAATTTTTATTTTTATTGTTTTTTTTTGTTTGTATTTTTATTAATTCACTTATAAAATAACAAACAAAAATAAAAAAATATATAAAAAATTTCATCATTTGAACCGTTAGATTATATAATAATAATAATAATATTACAAAATAACTGTTTAATACACACATACAGTATATATATATATATAACAAAAATTATATAATAATAATAATACCATTTTTTTCACTGGTATTTCTATATAATAACAAAATCAATATTATTTTATTTTTTTTGTATTATTATTATTATTGAATTAAATAACTTAATAATAATTATATGTTRTATTTCAAGCAACAAAAAAAATCAATTATGTTTCGCAATGATTAGCTGTATATATATATATATAGTATATGTTAGACATTTAATTATTTTTTRCTTATATATATACATACAATAGTAATAATAATAATAATAATACTAAATATTAAATATATATATTTATATAATAYAGAAAATATGTTAATTTTTTTCCTCTATATATWTACTAATATCTAATTTACTACTATTTAATAGTAGTTTATATATATATATATATATACTATTTGTGGTGGTGTTAGTTAAAGATAAGACTAAAATAATATATATATATATATATGATATATATTTCATCAAAATTATTATTATTATTACAATATTACTCATCATAAAAGTCATWGCAAACATATATATACTGTATAAACACTACTGTAATCTAATATCAATTTGTAGTTTTAGTTTATATATATATATTATATATAAACTACAAAAAAAAACTAAACTATACATTAATATTTATATAATTTTTTTTATAGCCAACTAATTCCTTAAGTWTTTTAATGTATATTACAATATAGTAGTAATATATTATCATATTTTTTTGTAGGTCTCTTAGGAGTTATAATATATATATATGTRTATATATACTGTATTTTTTTTGTTGCTGTTTGAAGCACTGGTAGCTATCAAGTGCTCATCTAATTTGGGTATCCTTCCTGTGCTATGCGCCTCTATGTATATATACTGTATGTATGTATSTATYTATCTATGTGTGTGTGTGTGTTTGTGTGTGTGTGTATGTATATGTATGTATATGTATGTATGTATGTGTATGTGTGTTGACTGTCTTATTTAAATTAACATTAGAGAGAGAGAGAGAGAGAGAGAGACCTAACATTGCATTGCATAACATTTGGATGACTACTACTACTACTACTACTACTAGAGTAATGCATATGTAATGCATATGAAATTAGTTTATATTACAAACATTTACAGTGTATATAATTTATATACATATATAATAATATAAACAGTAATTTTTTACATATATATATATATAATATTCAGTCAAATATATATACAGTATATAGAAATGCCTTAAGAAAGAGACTAATTTTTTTAACAAACCATTTGATGGATTAGTTTCTCTTAATATTATTATTTATATASARATATATATATATAGAAAATATATATGAGTTTTCTAGTAGTAGTTGTAATAATCTTTTAGACTAAACATAATCATTCAATTTTGCAAATGAAAAAACTCATTAATTTTTTTCACCAAAAAAAAAATAAACTACATTACTGTCGGTAGACTTGCATACTATACATCACACATACACACACACACACACACACACACACACACACAGAGAGAGAGAGAGAGAGAGAGAGAGAGAGAGAGAGAGAGAGAGAGAGACTTATAAACACTTATTAAATTGTAATACAATTTTCTTTTACTCCAATATATATATATATATATATATATATATATAATATATACTATATATATATATATATATATATATATATATATCCCTCTAGCAATTTGCATGTAATGTATGTATAATTTTTTGTTTAGTTGATGTATAACTACCAGTGCTCACTGAGAAGGACAGTAGTATTAATAATAATAATAGTAGTAATTGATGTAAAACATATGAAAATTAAATAAATTTAATTTTGTTTTTTTTTCGTTCAAATTATTATTCAATTTATATATATATATATATATAAATACATTGGAGATGTTGTTGTGTTTTGTATTATYATTTTTTATGTATTATATATATATAAACCACTTGTGTATATCATATATATATATATAATATAATATAATATATAAATATATATATATATATATATAGTGACTCTTCAACAAAAAAATTTTAATAAAAAAATTATTGTCATCTAAAAAGATGAATTACACTTAAATTAAAAAATACATTAAATTTATATATATATATATATATATATATATAAACATAAATATATTTAAATATAATCCCCACACAAAAAACTTATGTAACAACAAAGTTATACAAACAATGATATATATATATAACAAACAAACAACAAAATTACTGTATTATTATTATTTATTTATTTATTTAAGTAATACTTAATTTTTAAATAACATTAATAATAACAGTAATAAAAAAAATATATATTAAAAAACATTTTTGTCTTTTTTTATTGTTATTGTTGTCTCAATTTATATATATATATATATATATATGTAATGTATGTGTGTTTTGTTAATACAATACAATTCAATATGCCCTCCCATGTTAATCACCATCATCTACCTGTCCCCCATCTATTTTATTATAAATATTATTATTACTTTTTATTTTTTATTTTATTTATTAAACACTCACACACTTATTGTAATAATAATAATAAAAAATAAAATACCTGAGCGCCCAAACAAATAAAAAAACATCCATTTCCTGGATTTATATAGTCATCCATAGTTATCATATGAATTAAATATTATTAAAAATAAAAATTAAATATACAATTTTCATAACAATAACATATATATATATATATATATATATATATATATAGATAGATAGATATATATTTAAACAGAAAATTGGGTTTAAATTTTTTTATATATATAATATATTAAGTGATTTTAATATAAAAATAATAATATTAATAAATACTTATTATTTTTAAATGTATTTWATATATCATATTTTGTGTGTGTGTTTAATGTCTAACATGTTTTTTTAAACATATAATTGTTGTGTTTATAAGTATTATTTAAATTACAATTTTTTTTGTTTTTGAAACAAACAAACAAAAACAAAAAAAATGAAAATTATTTTTTAATATAAATATGAATTTAGTTATTTAGGAAAAAAATTTGTTTTCAAATTATTATTATTATTATTATTTAATTGGGAGAGAAAAATAGGGCTTTTCCTTAAAGTATACATCAAATTGTAATTTTTGTAACAAAAAATATTATTATTATAAGGATTTTTTTGCATCAAATTAAATACATTGAACTAAATGATATCGTTTAATACATACATACATACAYAYACACACACACACACACACACACACACACACACACACACACACACACACACACACACACACACACACACACACACACAGTATTTAAATACATACATATATATATATATGAAAAACAGTATATAATATATCACTACCACTCAGTTAAACCACTCAACAACACCCCGTTCCCCACCAAAACTGATAGTATATCTAACTCTCTCTCTCTCTCTCTCTCTCTCTCTCTCTCTCTCTCTCTCTCTCTCTCTCTCTCTCTCTCTCTTACCGGGTATTAATGTCATGTATTATACTATACTTATTAATCATAATAACAAAACAAAAAAAATAATAACTTTACATATAATAGTCACTCAACTTTCTCTCTCTCTCTCTCTCTCTCTCTCTCTCTCTCTCTCTCTCTCTCTCTTTCTTTCCTATCATATCCTATCCCTATCTCTCCCCCATATATATCAGTCATACATTCAAAAACAACTCATCATCAAAATTGAGGTCCTAATCATCATAACAATAGTAATTGATATCATATTATTTTAAATAGTTAGTTGTGTGTGTGTAAGTTAAATGTTATTTTTTTATTTATATATATAATTTTTTCATTATAATAACAATATATCCCCATAAAAGGGGTTTATATATATATATATATATATAAATCCTATTATATGTAGAAAAAAATAGTTTAATTTATACACTCATACAAAAAAAATAAGACAATCAAAACAAAATTAAAAAAAAACAAAAATAAAATAATAATAATAGAGAGAAAACATATTATTACTTAAAAACCATATTTGATGTTTAAATAAAATTTTAATTTCACTTTTATTTATTTATTTATCATTTTTATTTTGTAATCATTATTATATTTTGTGTATTATATCTCACACATGTATTATAAAATTTAAAGGAAAAAAAATTAAACTACAATTACTTTAAAATTTATTTATTATTTTTTTCACTATTATTATTATTAAATCTTATTTTCATTTTAATAATAATAATATAATTTTATATTTATTTATTAATATAAAAAAATATAATAATAATAAATACACTATAATTATAGTATAACTGTATAATATTTTTTTWAAAATAAAGTATAATATTATAATATATAATACAATTTGGACATACATTACATACACACACACATATTTATTGTGTGGGTGAGTGGGTGAGTGTTAATATATAAAAAATAATAAAATAATAATAATAAGTGAAAGTTAAACCTAGATTTCCATATAATATATTAAAAACATTTTATTATATATWTTTTTCTATCATATTTTACTTGTTTGTTGTTAACATCAATTAAATAGTTATAATAATAATAATAATAAATATATAAACCGTTTATTTTGCCGTATATTTTATTATACTATGATATGATTAATACTATTAAATAATATTAACATAGATTTTTTAAATAATAATAATAATATAATTAATTTTTTTTCACTTTTTTTTGTTGTTGTTGAATAAAACATATAAATATATATATATTTATATAAAAAATGGGAAAAATTTTAATTTATTTTTACCTTTTTTATCGATTTGCTGGCAATATATGGTTTGAATCAATAGATTCGTGAATAGAAATCCAAATGTAATTATTAATCGCGAAATCATTGTTTTATTATTATTATTATTATTATCGATGAAAAATATTATATATAATTATATATATAATTATATTRAYAWATATAATCATTAACAAACAAATAAACAAAAATAATAAATWAKTTAAATTAAAATGTTTAAAATCATTTGTAATATAATTATTTGAAGTTTTTTTTTGATAAAAAAATTATATTTTGGGTGTAATTTATAAATAAATTGTAAATTATTATTTTAATTTATAAATTATTTTTTTTTTTTWTTTGAACAATAAATCCATATTTATTTTCACTGATAAATCCAATGATAATTTTTKTATGATAACACATATACACTAAATAATAATAATAATAATAATAAATCCAGTAATTGTATCATTAATTAGGTTCACAAAAATATTCACAATTATTATTATTATTATTTATATATTAAAATAATCCAATAAAACAACAAATTATTGTTTTTTTTTTGTAAAAAATATTTGTCACTATTTGAGTTAATCCAAGTTTTTTTAAAAAAATTGTTAATCAATTTTGATGTCCAAATAAAATCCAATATTATTCAAAAAAAAAGTTTTTCACCAAAAATATATTTTATTAATTTAGTCCACAATTAATGATATATTTTTGTTGTTGTTTATAGACAATAGGTTTACATCAATAATACTAAACAACAACAAAACAAAACTTTTTATATATAAAAAGTTTTATTTTTTTATATTTTTGGTGATAATAAACACTTTATTGGACWATAATATCCCCTGTTTTTATTATTATTATTATTATTATTATTTCCTATACACACACACAAAAAACAACACTATTATCATCCAATATATTACTAACACTTTACTTATTATTTTTTTWTTTTTTTGTAGAGCACTTGGAGATAGAAACCAACAAAAAATCTAACTGTGCTTTTAGTTTAGCAATAGTTTAGTATTCAAAAAAAAAAGGGATTCATATAATATAAACCCCAAAAAAATATTTTTCCTCACAAACCATATATATATGATAGTCACTGATAGATAGATACAGTATTTTTTGAGAGAAACTGTATGTACTGTATATATATATATCTATGAAGTACGGGACCAACTGTACCGACAACTATAAGCACATATAACTGACTGTTGGATTGTTGTCTGATGTTAGGAGAGCGAGCACTGGGATCCCTGAGCTGCTGCTGCTGGTGGTGGCGATGGTTAGAGAGAGAGCTGACTACTGAGCACTCTCGATGGGAACCGGTATCCAATTGGGACATTGACTCTCTCTCTCTCTCTCTCTCTCTCTCTCTCTCTCTCTCTCTCTCTCTCTCTCTCTCTCTCTACTGTATCACTGAAAATATTCACATCCCTTACCACCAATGATCGCCATCTACCAGTGCTTAGTGATGGTGTTCAACAAAATATAGAAAAAAACAAAGTTTTTTTTTGTCACAAATTAAAAAATTATCATGGTTATTTTTTATATATATAAATTTTTTTGCGCATATTATCTAGTAGTAAAATTTATTTAATTTTTTTATTAATTTTTTTTATGCATAATTAAAACTATATTTTTTTAAATAATAGTTTTTTATTTATTTATCAAAATAAAATTTATCTAGATAATTATTTATATTATTTTAGTTTTTTTTGTTATTAATTTTTATTATGTATTACTCTATGTGTGTGTGCTTTATATTATATATATATAAAAATTATGATAAAACAAAATAATTATAAATTTAAATATAATTTTCACTTAATAATAATAATGATAATATAGCAGACAATTATAATAATAATAATAAAATTTTATTTTATAAAATATAAATGACTTACTTTTTATTTATTTGATTCAAATTTTTTTTTAAAAAAGCAAATGTTTAACCATTTATATACACTTTTATATATATATATATATATATATATATATATATATATATATATAAATCTTGTATATAGTTTAAGGTAATAAATATTTTTAAATAATAATATTAATCTTTTATTAAAATAACGATTTGGCAATTAGTAAAAACTAATAATAATTATTATAATAATAATAAACAAAATATTTAAAAATGGGGTTTAAAACACATTTAACTGATAATATAATATAATATAATATAATATTATACTATATATACATATAAATAAATAATATTTTATTATTTAAAATTTTTAAGATTTTAAACTATGATAAACCACTCAAATATATATATATAATATAAACTAAAAGTTGAAAATCAAAATTATTAGTAGGATTTTTCAATGTTAAAAATAATAATATCTATTAGTCATAATAATAATAATAATAATAATTATTATTATTACAGTATTATAATATTACGCAAACTTTTTTTAATTAATAAAAAAAATCAAACCATTTTGAGGCCATTATATTTTGGACATTAAATATATATACATATATATTATGCAATTAAATTAAATTTTTTGTTGCATTTAATTGCCTACACATTAGACTTATGTATACACAAAAAAACTAACAATTTTTATTTAATTTAAATATATTTTATAATTTTTAAACAAATTTTTATTGGGTTATATACAATATATGTAGATTATTACAATTGATATGTTTTAATAAAAAAAAATTAAAATAAATAATATTTTTTTTTTTTAAATATTTAATATATTTTAATAATCATTGGTTGGAAAATGGATTTGTAATTAAACTTTATATAAAAAAAATATATTTTTTATATGAAATTTAAATATTATAAAAATTAGATTAACTAATGATAGACATGAATACAGAGAAAATAAAAATAATAATTATTATTATAATCTTAACATTCAATGACTTTTTTTTCTCTCTCTCTCTCTCTTTCTCTCTCTCTCTCTCTCTCTCTCTCTCTCTCTCTCTCTTTCTCACTCTCAGAGGAAAATAGTTTTTTATTTCAAAAAGTTTAACATAAAATTTATGCAAATTTTTTTGTTTGTTAGTTAGTTAGTTGTATGTGTCGTTTAGTTGGGAGCTATCAATGATTGAGAAATAAAAACTATTCATTTATTATTATTATATACTGAATATTATATATTCATAGAAATAATTTATATATAAGTTATATATACTGTATATATATATATAGACATTGAAACTAAATGATGACTACTAACTAATTTCTAGTGTCTAGTAGTCACTCATTTGCAACCCAATTGCATACCTGTGCTCTCTCTCTCTCTCTCTCTCTCTCTCTCTCTCTTATAGTACGAAAATAATGAGAGAGAGAGAGAGAGAGAGAGAGAGAGAGAGAGATAGAGAGAGAGAGAGAGATTAAAAAACATAAATGTTTTTTAAAATGTTACATCAATTTTTTTTATATACATAACATAACCAAAACAAAAAATAAAACACAACTAATTGTACCACAAGTTTGACTCTCAAAATAAAATAGTAGTTTTGAAAATAAAACTTTATATATATATATATACAGTATATATATTCAAACACTATTATTACCGATGCCTTCCAGGTATTAATGGGCACTAATTTTTATCATTATTGTTATGATTATAACTATTATTATTATTATTATGATTGTCTATATAGTGTACAGTAGTTTTCAAACATTTTGCTCATCCCCTCACTGAGCTCTCTCTCTCTCTCTCTCTCTCTCTCTTTCTCTGGACTACCAGTGCCAGTGTGTATGTCATCATAGAAATCAATGGCACTTTTCAGAGTTTTTTTGGGGGGACAGACATGTCATATAAAAATTGTTTTGTTTTTATAAATAAAAAAACAAAATAAATATATAAAATACAAAAAAAAATATATTTTGACGGACTATCACTTAACTACACTGTGTGTCGAAAAAAAATATAGTGTAACACAAAACTATGGTTTAATTATACTCTCTCTCTCTCTCTCTTTCTTTCTCTCTCTCTCTMTCTCTCTCTCTCTCTCTCTCTCTCTCTCTCTCTCTCTCTCTCTCTCTCTCTCTCTCTCTCTCTCTCTCTCTCTCTCTCTCTCTCTCTCTCTCTCTCTTTCTCTCTCTCTCTCTCTCTCTCTCTCTTTCTTTCTCTTAACTCTATCACTCACTCACTTATTCATAAGACTTACTCACTATGTCTATGACTTATTGCAATAATTTTTTTAATAAAAAAAATTAAAAAAAAAAATGTTTAACTTTTTTTCAAAAAAAACAAAAACAAAAATTATTTCATATTTTTGAAACATTAAAAATTATATATAATTTTAATAATTATATTTTTTTTGATTTTATTTATATTTTTAATAGTTTGCGTTTATGTATAAACTTTTTATTTTTTCTATTAAATGAAAAGTGAGTCTATAGTGTCTCTCTCTCTATATATACCCCAATACCCCCCTCCCTGTCCTCCATCCGTCCCCTCACTAATTATATAGTCTATGTGTGTGTGTGTGTCGACTCATATCATATCATTTGCACAAAAATTGTTTGAGACATTTATTAGTTTGACTTATACTGTAATGTCATACATATACAGTACATAGTATTACATACCTGTCCTCTTCAACACATACATACTAACACTACACATATCTTTATGTCATATCTTTTTTGAAATATATCGCCCGTATATATATATATATATAGTGTATATATACAGTGTATATATACTATATATGTTATGACATACCATACCATTTGGGTTTCACTTATATATATATATAGATATATTTTTTTCTCACACATTGTTTGTATGTCTATATAATATACATATAAAAAAAACTTTTAGTTTTTAGACTCTGAACTATATATATATATATATATATATACTGTATGTATATATAAGTGGTTTCTTCAGTAAATGTCTTTCAAAGCGTCAGAAATAAAAAAAAACAAAAATAAAAATTTTTAAATAAAATTTTTGTTGTTTTTATTATTATTTAAATTTCTAAATGATTTATTTTTTCTAATGTGTTTAAGCTTTTGAATTTTTATGACCAGTTTTATTATTTTATTTTTTTTTTTTGAAATGTTTTTTATTTTAACGATTATATTTATT